GGCAGCAACATGCTAATATGCTATCCGCCATTATATATTAAAATATATAATTAATATACAAATGAAAATAGCATTTTAAGCAAAATACTACTTCGTTCATAATTCTGTATTTTAATTAAATAATTGATGCATTCTTAATTTTTGGAACCAACAAAGTATCCTTTCTTCAAAAAGTAAAAATGTTTGACATTATTTTTTATTATAAAATAGCATTTCTGTACCCTTTTAAATAAATTATTTTCTTCAAAAACTTGAAATTGAGTTATATATCAACGAGCCACGTAACCAATAGCTGCAAAATAGAACAGCCTGATTACCCGGCATATCAAGCAAACATAGCTAAAAGAATGCTAATCCGCCCAATTATATATTTTAAAAGTAATATAAATTATGTACTAATGAAAAAATAGCATTTTTAAGCAACCCAATTACTTACTTCGTATCATTAATCTGTATTTTAATTACCCAATAAATTGATGCAATTCTATAATTTTTGGTAACCCAAAAAAAAAGGTCCCTTTTCTTCAAAAAAGTAAAAAAATGTTGACATTACTTTTTTATTATAAAATAGCAATTTCTGACCCTTTTAAATAACATTATTTTTCTTCAAAAACTTTGAAATTGAGTTATACTACTATATATTATATAATTATATATAAAAATAGTAATTAAATACTATAATATATATATATATATTACTTGTTTTTAGTTGAAACATCTTCTTAACGTAAATTTTTGTATTTTCCTGTGAAACAATACCACATCAATTCGTTTTATATACTTTGTTTAGTTGAAAACTTCTTTTAACGTAATTTTGTATTTTTGTGAAAAATACCACATCAATCGTTTTTACTTCTTCTGGAAACCAAATATTAGAATTGCTATTTTATTTTAGAAAAATATTTACCTACAACTATATATAAGCCCACCCATATATAAGCTCACCCATACATTAAACCAATAAAAATAATTTTTTATTATAACGAAGGTATTTATGATCATTCACCATAAAAAATGGTAACAATTTAAAAAAAAAAAAATTTATGGGTTGATTTGGTGTATGGTACCAAATATGCATTAGGAATAAGCAAGTCTTATCTTTTATTTTAAATCTTCTATTAATAATTACCAGAATGAAACCTATTGCTCTTCAATCACTGGAGCAAGTTATCTTAGATCACGTATCCATACGTTAAAGGTAAGCGTATCCATAATTGGTACTTAAAAAGTTTGCTCTTTATTACGCCAGTTTTTGGATGTCTGCTGGATTGCAATCCAGTTGAAATCTTAAATTTTGTTCATTTAGAATTTTCACTGGATACAGATTAATGGGTTTGCTTTTCTCATCGATCCATTAGATATGGGTTGACAGATTGAAGTTTAATTGAAATCTTGTTACCTAATTTAGAATTTTCCTTAGCACGCACGTGTTATCCATCTGATAACAATGTTTTATTCTCGGTTCGAAGTAAAATTAGTCTAAAAAAATCAGTTTCAGCGCTTGATCAGTTTCATTACCTGCTTGGCTGGGTGGCTACATTAAATAATTAGGAATAGGGAAAAAAAAACGAACTTTAGGGCTCAGCCCTGCATGCACATCATGTGGGCCTAGCCCGCTTAAACCTCAAGCCGAGGCCTGCGTAGCCCATGTCTTTATAGTTAAGCTTGTATTTATAGGTAGGCGTTTTATCTCTCAACTTGTAAATTTCTGATATGGGATAAACAAGTTGAGTGATGCTTTATAGATAGATAAATCATAGATGCTTTATTCCATTTTGGAAACACATAAGTTGAGGAATATTTAATGAAATTTAAATTCTTATTCTATGGTGCATATGAATCAAAAAAAAAAAAAAAAATTTCTAAACATAAATCAAAAAAAAAAAAAAAAATTATATTCCCCGTTCTATTACTTCATACTAAACATAGCTTATAATTGATATCATTATCTCTTTTTTAGTTCAGAAACTTAAAAAGCCTTTTTCAATTTTTTTATTTTTTTAAGAAAGTCATTTCTTTTTCAGTTTTGTCTCCTAAGCAATATTTAATTCTCTTTATTCATTCAACGCAATGAAATTCAAACTAAAGACATGTGATTATTAGTTGAAGTAGAAAATGGGGCACTGCCGTTGCAATATGATATGATACATCAACTTCATCGTTCTTCTTCTTCTAAATTTTTTTTTAAAAATGCGTGCAAATTCTCTGGTTAAGGCCAATCCCCTCGTCTTACTCAGCCTTATCTCTTCAGTGATGTTAAGGTTCCTTGTCTTATTATTATTAATAATAAATATTATAAGAGAATTCAAACTTAAATCTGTTGCTAGATAATATATGCACTGATTACTAGATTATGTCTCAGTGTACTTTATTTTTATTTTTTTGAATTATCCTTCTAACAATTTGTCTAGATATAAAATCATAAATTTGACAATAATTTATAAGTTATTATCAAATTTATAATTTTTCAAGAGAATGGTACATGACTGGAAATGTGAATTATAATTATTTTATGTGTCATTAAATCAACAATTTTATTTTTATTTTTAAATCGAAACTAAAGTGAGCTACATAATAAAATTAATTATTCCTTTTCTTACAAATTCCTTTCATCCCATAAATATTGATAGAATATTGAATATTCTAAGGATATACGTATATACAATTAATTGAGGGACCATAACGATATTATTCCATTGTCTATTACAACGATCCGGAAATATTGAGATTTTATCTCCAGACTCTTGTTATGGATGTGCAAAACATCCGACCAAGCCAAAGAAATACATTTTGATTCGGTTCAATTGATCCACTCAAAAGGAGTTGATTTTGTCAAATTAGTCGTTTTGCACCAAAATAATTGGTGGTTCAGCTTAGGTTCACAAAAACTAATTAGTTAGCCTTAAGATGGACCAAAACTGGTAGAATCTACTGATTCGTTTCGAGTCGATTTGGTTGACATGCAACTTCTTTCAGTTTGAGAGAGAAAGTGTACGTATTCCCCATTGCAGAGTGAATGAATTTCCTCTTCCCAATGTGACTGGGTGGTCACAAGATGAGCAGTAAACGGTTGTCCTGCTTTGGATAGGATTCCATATTTGTTGGACAGAACAGAAGTTTGTTTTTCTCCACGTTTTAGTGAGTTTCTGCCATTTTACTTCCATGGACCACACTCACACAAACAAGCACAACAAGTCAAGAAACTAATTGGATGCAATATAGACATTTTTCTTCTTTTCATTAAAAAAAAAAACGAAAGGAAAATTTTAATTTACACCAAAATTAATTTACTGAAAAAACACTGTGAGAGGAATATCCGATATCCAACAAGAATTAATATATTTCACATGTTAGTAACATAAATTTAAAGAAAAATATTGTTAATTAACTGTTAAGATAGAAATATATATGTAGAAGATATAAATACAAGAATATTAATTTCTATATGTGAAATTAAAATTTTGAATTTCAAAAATATATCACAATGTGGAATGGATTGAATAGAAGTCATTAATTTCTTTAAGTGAAAAAATAAATATAAATTACAATATGAGCAAATTGAAAATGAAATCCTTGTATGAGTAATATAATAGTTCTGTAATTTTTTTTTTTTTGAGAATAGATAGATTGAGGGATTTGAATCCCTATATAGTTCTGTAATTTGATTAAGTAAAAATCTGTACCGTAAATAATCTGACTTTTTTGGAAAAGGATATGCAATTTTATTTAAGTTCTATTTGTCTATATAAAATAATTTGTAGATAAATATTTTTCATAATTTTTTGTTGTTTGAGGTGTTCGGGAGAATAAGTCAACGGAAAATATTTTTCTGATCAAAGAGAAATTTAGTTATTTTTAAGGAAAATAAATTCTCATTTCAAGAGCAAAACGTTTTGCAGATATTGACAAACTTATTATAACATTATAAATTCATATTTTTTAATTTATTAATCATCGTAGTCATTATTACCAATCGTGATTCACCACCGGCCACCACTATCCCCACCAGCCTCGTCAGTCACCATCAGTCACCAACGACTTTTGTAATTTACCTTTCTTTTTGCATTTTTCGTATACTTACTATAAAATTTTTAAAATATAAAATTTCTATTGTTATTAATATTTTTATAAGAGTTAAAAAATTTTATATTTTAACTAATTTTAAATATTGCAATCGAACAACGAAAAATAAATCATTTGAAAAATATTTTTCAAAGGTAAGTTTTTTTCCTGAAAGTATAAATATTTTATATATACAATTTAATTAACCAAAGATGAAAATATAATTGACAACCAGGTGCTAGTCTTGTTGGTCAACATTATTTTAACTAATTTATTGAGACAAGGGAGAGCTACCCTATTATATAATTAGTGTCTAAATTTCTTCAAACTTTTATAGTTAGGTGATGGAACTTTATTTTTAATTTAAGTGAATGTTTGAATACATAATATTTTTTCAATTAAGTGTATTTGGCTAGATTATTTTATAGAAACGTAGAAATAAATAATTTTATTTAATTAATTATATAAGTATAATTTCTGTTTTTTTTTTCATTTTTTTAGTTTTTTCCTTTTTTTTAAGCATAAAATATCTTACAATATTTTCAGTTCCAAAATTGACAAAAAAAAAAAAGGGGAAAAATATAACTATTTAGAGAAATGAATTAGGTAAATGAATGTAGTAAACAATTTATTTTAATTTTCAACAGAAAGTTTCGTCAAATTTGCTTAATTGTGAAAAAACTATTAATTCACATAATTAATAAATAAAAAATATAAAACTATAACATTGAAATAAAACAAAATGATAATTATTAGACTTGAATTCATAAGTACATTAAAAAAAATTCTGATCTATACGTTTTGTATGGATTGCACCCATTTTGACTTAACTCCCTGGACATTCTAAATTTGACAGGTTAGTGATATTAGCACCCCCAATTTAAAATCAGGTTCTAAAAAAATAATAAACAATTCATTTGTAGGAGCCAAAGATTGACACAAGAGTCATCTAATTAATCCATTAACCCATTCTCAAAACGACGCCGTTTCGAAAACAACACCCTCACCTTCTCTTTAACTTTCGCTCAATCAAAAACCCAAAATCTCAAAATCCCTAAACCTAACTTCTATTTCTCCTCTGTAATTGCTGCAACAACGATGGAGATGGAGCTAAGTGAGGACCTTACAGACTGATCAAACAACTCAACGAATAATCTCAATCATAGGAAAATGGACGGTGGTTTTAACATGGAGGTTTGCATAGGAGAATAACGCGGTCGACAAGAGGGGGAAGTAGAGGAAGAGAGAGCCGAGGTAGCGGTGGAAATGGTGGTTGGTTTGGTTTGGGTAGGTCTATAAGGCATTGGTTTGTTTGTATTGGTGGTTGTGGTGAAAGCTAAAATTCAAATTTGAGGAGTAGAGGTTTTTCGATTTTTAATAACGGTGCTTCTTCAAGAATAAGAAGATTGGATGGGGAGCTTAATGGAAGGGGAAAAAAGAGGTAAACTTGGGGCAAAATTGTTAATTTTTTGCTTAATGTCTAAATATTAACATATAAGAGATTTTTTTTTTTTTTTTAATTGAAGCTGGAAGAAGTTAATTTAAATAAAGGGCAATCAGAAGAAAATGAATTGAGCGTTTGGAAAAGAGCTAAGAGTAAGAGGTAATGAAACAAAGCCATATGTTTTAGTTTGTTTTTTTGTAATTTTGAGTCAGGAGAAGCATCTTTCGTTTTTTTTTGCAATTTTTTTCCTAGAAAATCTATGAAAAACATCCATTACTTAAAAGTTTAAGCATGGTGCTAGAGCTGTTGATTCTGCAATTTAAACATTTCATTGTTGCTGATTTTGCAGTTTGGTTTAGCAACGAAGACTTGCAAATTTGAAAAAATTTTCAGTATAAAGTTATTTGATGTTATATAGAAGGTATATCGATTAATTTTGTTTTCAGATGTTATATAGAAGGAGCAAAGATATAGCAGACAAGCTTTTTGAGATTTTGGGCTTTTTGAAATTTTCAGTATAAAGGGAAGGAATAGTTGAAAAATATCCTTATTATAAAAAAGGAATAATGTTCAATTTGCCCTGAATTTTAGCACAATATATAATTTAACTAAAAATTAACTTTTTGTATAATTTACTCTTGAACTTGCATCAAAACTACAAAATGATCAATTTTTGTCCCAAAAAAAAATAAATTATTTAATATAAATCTTAAAATGTAATTAAATATTCGATCTAAATCTAATATAATTAAAAAAATAATCAAACAACACAATGATAAATATTTTCTAACCAAATATTTCAATATATGAAAAATCTTTTTCTAATTTTATAATTTTTTAAGTCAAATAAATGTTAAATTATTTTTAAATCAAATATTGTAAATTGTTATAATTATTATTATATTTTTTAAAATATTTTTTATATTTTAATTGTAAAATTTTAAAATGATTTTCATCGGTTAAAATTATAAAAAGAAATTTGTCTTAAAAAACTAGGCATTTTGTTCTATTGATGTAAGTTCAAGGGGCAAATTGTATAAAAATTAATTTTTAATCAAATTGAACATTGAGTCTAAATTTAAAAAGGCAAATTGGGTTTTATTCCTGTAATATATAACTAGGCATTTTTGGTTTCTATTGATGTAAGTTCAAGGGGCAAAATTGTATAAAATAATTAATTTTTTAATCAAAAAATTGAACATTGAGTCTAAAGTTTATATAGTAAGGCATAATTGGGTTTAATTCCCTGTAATTATATATATATATATATAATATATATATATATAATTTCCGTGTTTATATAATTCGTTTGGTGCATTGATAAGCTCACAGACAATATATAAACAAGTTAATCTCTCTATTCATTAATTACATCACCTTCGTTATCATCATCTTAAATGGTGAGTCCCACACTGAGTAGTCCATCTCTTTTAATTATATACGTGAATTACATATTGATCTATGGTAATTATTGAAAATTTAAAAAAAAAAATCCACAAGAGAAAAAAAAATTAAATAACAGGTTTGTCGCCTGTCGACTGCGAGTGCCGACAACCAATTGGTTTTTTTAGAGCGAGAAATAATTTAAATAGGCAGATTGAAGAATTTTAGAGTTGTTAGTAAGAATTTCATTAGAAATACTTATATGATAAATAGATAAATATGTTAAATTATGTTTATATATATGGAGTGGAAAAAACTGACTAGGGTAATGTTAGGGAGCAGTATATCTAAAGGACACTATTACATAAAAACGAAATGATGATATGTATGGAAAATAAGACAAATGGTTTGATATAATTAAGAACAATTTAAATATGAATATTATAAATATAAAGGTATATTTAAAAAATAAAGAAAAAAATTATAATTTAATTATATTAACTAAATTTTCTTAATCAATATATAAATCCATTACGACAAAAAATAATGAAAGCGAGAGATTATTTATTATGAAGATGATTATAGTATTATTATTCTTGGATAGAATGATGGTTGTGCAAATGTGGAAAAGTAGTAATTGTGGCATAATTTCATTGGCTGAAAAGCTACAGCCTATAGGAGGGAAAATTATTGGGCTTGGGGATTCCCATCCAATCTCAAACCTTCAGGTGTACGTTCAATATTCCCCGAACAATCCTTTTGATATTTCAATTATTTTATAATAGAAAAAATTATGATTTTATTCATGCATTTTACCATAATATATAACATTCTCATTATATTTATAGGACTATATATTCTCATTATTATTTATAGGACTATTATATATATATATATATATATATATATTATTTTATATATTATTTTTTATTTCTCTTTATATTATTCTGTCAATTTTTTGTACTTTTTCTTCTGAAAATTTTATTTTATTATTGTATCTTGTAAGAATTAATTAGTATATTATTGTATTTACTGATTGTTTCATTCATATTAATTAGTGAAAATTAAGTGATTTATCTCTCTATTTAATGGAAAAAAAATTAATAGAATAATACAAGAGTATAAATGAGATAAAAGTGGATGAATCATAGTCCATGGATAATGTCAAATAGCTTAATGTTTAGGTGAGCATTGGATTATTTTTTGTTTTTTTAAGAAAGAGTAAATATTATCACGTGAGAAGAGAGTGCATACGTATAAAAACAAACAAATTACAGCCACAATTAACATGGTAAAAAAAGAAAAATAAAAAACAAAACCTTAACCTGTTGCGTCCAATCTTTTTCGTATCCATAATAAATTTCTCTCTCCAGAATGCTCCAGGATAAATAATATAATAGATTAAAATTGTGGCTTTTTTTAACATTATAAATATAAACTGATATTATGCTAAAACATTTTCAAAAATTTAACACTATGTTTTGGAAAATAAAGGAAGAAAAGTAAGAGAGAAAAAAAAAAAAAAAAAAAAAAAAAAAAAAAAAAAAAAACAAGGAGCGAAAATAATTAAAACAGTCTTTTCTTTTTTTATTTATACTTCTGCACAATGTATTGAAGCCCGAGTCTACATTATCTTTTTTTGTATTATATTTTCAGAAACTTCTTAATTACCACACTCAGTGTTATAGATGGTTTTAACAAAAAAAAAAAAAAAAAAAAACAAGGAGCGAAAAATAATTAAGAACAGTCTTTTCTTTTTTTATTTATACTTGCACAATGTATTGAAGCCCGAGTCTACATTATACTTTTTTTTGTATTTATATTTTCAGAAACTTCTTAATTACTCACACTCAGTTTATAGATGGTTTTACACGCCAAGTCAATTAATGAAAGATTTTTCAAAAAAATTTTTTTATTATAAATCACCGATATTCTAACTCTATTAATAGAGACTGCCTAATCCTGTTCGATGTTTAGTGACATTTAAAACTCTTCGTCTTTCCCTACAGATGTGTTTAGTGAAAATCAAACCTAAAAACTCTTTTTTCATGCTCAGACTGTGTTGTCAAATGAACCACAATCCGTATTTTTTTTTTTTCTTTTTTGTTAGTTTTTCCCTCCTATTGACATGGATAAGCTCTTTAATGTATCTATACTAAGTTGCATAATTCTTCCTTTTCATGCTTTTATCAAAAATTTTGTTTACCAATCACATGTAAACACGCATCGAGGAATTCTCTGGAAAATATTTACCTGTTATGAGCTCACTCTAACTATTTTGTTCTTTTCTCCATTGAAGAGACATTATTATTCTCGCTCGTTTGTCTTGATTATTTTTATTAGATTTGACATTGAAAATGAATGTGCAATTCATAAACATAAATATAATAATAAGGTAGGTCCTACATTTATGTGTCTGAGGTTGGATTGCAAGTGGTTCATGCCTATAAAAACCCACCTAAGTAACGCTTGAAGCACCACAGCAGCTCTTTACTTTCTTCTTCATATTGCAAACAGCTCTCTTCTAACAATGGCTATGGCGACGGTGATGGTGGTGCTCGGACTGTTGGCTATGGCGGTACAACCGTCCATGCAACAGATACTGAAAAAACCAGGATCTGCCTTCAAGATCCATTCAGAAACACCAGCTTATGGACTTATTGCAAGTTCCAGCAACACTGAGGCGGCCCTTGACAAGTCTGGCATTTTCACTGTTGAATCTCATGTTGATATTGAAGGCATTATCTTGCTCCCTATATGCTAATCGTTAATTAATTACCAAAATATTTATATTACAAAGTCTAATTAATAACTTAATTATCTGATCCTTATAGGAAGAAGATTCGTTATGGGCAAGATTTTGGATTGGCCTGTTGTCTATGTGAACACTGCAAATCGACCAGCGGTATGTAATTCCATGTCTACAGTAGTATATTTATCAATTCACTTGTATATATTTTTTTAATTCGTAAATAACATATATATGTTTATATATTCAGGTTCACGCAGGCATTACTACTCATATTATGGCTAGCAACTTCAATCTTCGAGGTATTATTGTTATGGGAAGTGCCGGTGGCGTTAACAACTCTTTGAACATCGGTGATGTTGTTATTCCTGGAAGAATTGCCAACACTGGAATTTGGACTTGGAAGGTATATATACGTTTATTATACAACTATTAAAGTCTATTTCATCGTTACATTTTATTATTTACACTGTACTGTGTTGTCTATAATTTGATATGCAGAGATATGGGGCAACATCAAATGGCCAACTCGTCTTTGGAAGATTCAATACTCCAGAAAATGGAGAAAACTTGTTGGGAAGTGTTGAATTTGGTTCCTCTGAGGTATATGAAAATGGAGAATTGGCTAAAAGCAGATTTTGGATTGTTCCTGATGCACGATACCTGATGGTTGCCAGTAACATTGAGGTTAGTTCGTTTCTGTTCTTTTTACAAAAAAATTGCAAAAGAAGAGTTGAGAATCTCAACCATGGTTCGGCTTTCTGGTTGCAGTTCGCAGAGACATCAGAGAACTGTCTACACCCAAGAAAATTAGGTTGCCTTGCTGCAAAGAACAAGGTTGTGACTGGACTGAGGGCTTCAAGTTCTGATGTCTACGTTCAGAACAACGCATATAGAGAGTTCTTATGGCACACTTTCCATGTCTCAACCGTAGACACCACCAGCCACGCTGTCGCATTGGTACGTAATTAATTAGTAATCACCATAATTTTGTGTATAAAAACCATTTGTTTTGTATAATCAAGTTGAGCTTAATTGGGTTATTATGATATATTTATAGGGAGCTATGTCGAGCAACTTGAGGTTCATATCGTTCCGGGGAGTGTCGAACACCGCAGGAGCTTCAGAAGAGAGCAACAGTGCATTGGCAAACGCAAATCTTGTGAAAGCAGTTTTCCGCTTCATCTATCTGGATAACAAGCTCCGTTATGATGAAGAGTGAAAGACTCTGTGCATGTTTGTGTCTAATTAACTAGTACTAATGTATTATATCCTTGAGTTGCTGTTAATGAGGAAGCCGGAATGTATGTACTCAAAATGGAGTGTCTGTACTTTAATGCTCCTTTACCATAAATAAATTTGAGTCTTTTATGTACTTAATGCTCCTTCGGCATAAATAAAATGAGTCTTTTATCTATTTTTATTGTATCTGTTTCGTAATATTTATCATATTTTATATTTTTTAAAAAAATTATTAAATTTATTTAAATTCTCTAAAAAAAACCATTGAATTTTTAAAATAATAATTATTGATAATATAAAAAGAGTAAATATGAAGAACAATGATTTATTATTTTTTAAAATGATAAATATAATAAATATTTTACAATAAATTATTTTTTTAAATGTAATAAATATTGTGGAGGGAAGGTAATAATAAATTTGTATCATAAAATTGAAAATTGGTGGAAGTGGAATTATGCATGCCTTCAATTAAGTGTAAAAGCTGCCTCAGATGTTTTTTTTTTCCTTTTTTTTAGAATAATCTCATATGGTAAAATTGAAAATATGGTAAAAGTAAAAAGTTTGAAAGCAAAATGATATGGAAAAAAAAAAAAGTAAAGAAAAAGATTTTTAAATTTTCCTGGGCCCACATAATGGCAATCTCTTCAAATCGGGAGGAATATGACTTGAAAATGATGAAAGTTTCATATTGATACAAAATTATGATGTACCTTTTCTTATTATATGTCTATAAATATATAACAATAACTTTATATATAATTTAAACATACTTGCATATATTCTTTCCATCCAAAAAGAAAAAATAAAAAAGAATTAATTTCTTATCATTATCTTCTTTTTTATCTAATCCAAATATGATGTCTCATTATATCATCGAATTATTTCAGTTGCAAATAATATGTATACTTAAATTGAAGCAGCATGATTTTAACTTAAAAACAACTCGTTAGATTTATCGAGCAATTTTTTTATAGAGTCGAATTTCAAACGGTTTGACTAATTTATAGAGCCATATTTTTTTTAATTGCTTGAAGAACCGTGCATAAATTCGGTGCAAAATTAATTTTTATTTATTTATTTTTAAATTCATTTAGTTGAAAACTCATATTAGAATTGTAATCGATTTTCATTTTATATATTTTAAACTTTAGTTTTCAAAAATTGCATTATTTTTCTGTAAACCTCTCTGAAATCTCATTTATATTAAAATTTTGGTTCTTAATTTTTTTTTTTAAAAAAAAGAAACAGACCTAAAATATGTAAAATAAATTTATGAGAAAATTTATGTATAATACCTTTATCAACGGGGTCTTATCTGTATTACATTTCCGACAAGCAGCCGATAATGCTATCAAAATGTCAATCAGTCTTTATGATTTTTTTTTTTTTTAATAAAATGTTGTCACCTCGTACGGAAAAGATTTTCCAAAGACGTCTCATATCATTCACTACCGTTTTGTTGTTTCTGCAAATAAAGAAATTAGTGGTCATTTAAATTTTGTTATTTTATTAATAATAATAAAAATACCTTTTCATATTTTTTGCACATATCAATTAAGAGATGATGGGAGATGATTTTAATATATTGCAAGATTATTCTTGTACTTTAAATTTCGAGTAAATATTTTAAATTTTAAATATTTTATTTGATCGAGTATTACAAATTCTTTATAAATTTATAAGTCTTGGTATAATTATTTATATTAAATTTCTTAACATATTGCATATACATACATATCTTTGATATATTTATTAGTATATCAACATTAATTACTGTTAAAAGAATGTAAATTAATTAAAAAAATATCCTATAATTAGAAATAAAGAAATAGTACGATTTCTTTATGTGGCGGAAGGCCGCGGGAAATGATTTTGCTTTTTTTTTTTTTTTTTTTTTTTTTTTTTTTTTTTTTTTACGATTTTCTTTATGTGGCGGAAAGGCCGCGGGAAAATGTTTTTGGCTTTTTTTTTTTTTTTTTTTTTTTTTTTTGTTTTTTTTTTTTTTGAGAGAGATTTTTTTTTTTTTTTTTTTTTTTTTTGAGAAGATAATGATTCACATTTGCATAAAACTGATCGGATAGGTTAAATTTCTGACAAGTTGGACAAAAACGACACCGCAAGGACAATAATTGTGAAACCCACTGCCTTATCTTTTTTTACTAATAAAAAAGTATATGGCCCAATCCAATTTCGATTCGCCACATTTTATACATCATGTACGTCCAACATATTTTTCCTTCTCACCAAATTATTTGGTTTCATTAAAACCTATCTTTAAAACTACTACATTCTCAAGTTTTTCACCCTACCTTCATTTTTTTTACTGAAGTATTCACTCAACTGAGGAATGTTTGAACTTTAAGAAGCCAAGTGTTTAATTGATATTAAAATTTTATACAAGATTTTAACAAACAGTTATATCAATATAAAATTTTATTTAAATTTCAATATAAAATTTTATGAATTGTATTTTTATTTAAATTTTATTTATAAAATTAAGAGTTTGAAAATTTAGAATTGCTACTTGAGAGAACTTATCTTAATATTATCACATCCATACACCTTGGATTTAAAGACATGAATGAAAAAAAAAAAATTTCTTTGAAACTTTATAATAATTTTTTCCAAATATAGAAATGTAATTTCAATAAAAGCTTGTAGAATTCATAATAATTTCCCAAAAAAATTATAGAAAAACTTAATTGTTAATCTTAACCACAGTTTGAAGCTATTCAAGTTGTTAAAAATCTCACATCAACGGTATATATGTGGCACTTTTTAAGTAGTTTTTAGTCAAAACGATAAGTACTATTTTTTATATTGCTCGGTTACATAATGTTTGAATTAACTTTTAAAAATTAATAATCTTTCACATAAAAGTTAATAATTTTTAGTCAAGACAATTAATGTTGTTGAACAGACACATAAAATCTACAAAGAATATACAAAAGTGATAAATTATCTATCTAATTGGTTGATATTAATTTTTTAATTTTATTACAACATAAGTTTAAATAAGCCCAAGTCACATTGTTTTTACCTCATGGGTTGTCGCCTCCGAAACGTGTTAGTCCACGGTTACTTTCAGAAGCATTTATAGCCGTAGGATTAGGATTGGTGTTCCGTTGGAAACAGGTCTGAGTTTATTTTTGTTGTTACTTTCAGAAGCATTTATAGCCGTAGGATTAGGATTGGTGTTCCGTTGGAAACAGGTCTGAGTTTATTTTTGTTAAATTTTAATGGACGATGCACAAATTTGAACCGATAAAAAGGCGGTCTACATCCTACCCGATAGGACAATCACTTTGTCCTCTATGAGAATAATTTCAGCCTGACATGTGGATAAGACTTGTTAAATTCTAACACCACATCAGAATACGTTGGTCCCACCTCTGTACTAATGTATTAAAAGCCAACCCTGAAAAAAGACAAAATTTAATGCATGTGGCCAATAAAGCTATTACAACGTGGTTTATTTAGAAATGCAAACAGCAGAGATTTTTCTGTGGACCTTCAAACAGGTAATGACTTCTCTCTTGGACCAATGGTTGTTCTTTATGCATTTATTGCGACTAGTCCATCACGTGAAAATTCAAAAATATGTCCATTTCAAGACACGTGTATGCATGCGGCAACACGAGATGCCCAGGAGCTATCAGCTAATCCATAACTTTCCCGGTTTTGGTTCGAAGTCCCCCCCAACCCGAATGTTATTGGATCCAGGTTGGTTTTGGGTTTGATTTTATTTTTCGTTGTTTCAAATTTTATTTATTTTTTAAAAATAATTTATCTTTTTTGAAAATATATTTCAAGCAGCTTACTACTTCTGGCCACAAATATTTTTATTCAACAACATGAGTCGCTTTGAGAATATCCTGAAATTATTAATAAGATTTTTTTTTTCTTATTTCTATTATTTTCTAAAGGGTAAGTTAATCAAATGAATGAATATTTATTTTAATTTAAGAGAATTAATTATTTTTTTAATCATCACTGTATCATAACGTTAAATAATTTATGGACGGAGGGAATATTTGGTTGTAGAAATGATAAACTTGAAATTCAAAAAATTATTGTTAAGAAAAAATGTATGATATGATAAATTGTGATAATGACAAAGGTCAGTGGTTGTGGAATAGTAAGCGCTAAACGCGGTTGCCGATAACTGACGCTGATTGAAATTGATCAACAATGGTCACTTTTCATCATCAACATATTACTAAATCTATGTTGATAAGATTATAGTAATTGTGTTAATTTTTTTGTAAAATATTTTTTTAAATAAAAATTTATTTCTTTTAAAATAACTTAACTTTCAATTTGATACAAAATATTTTTTATTGATTGATTTTTTTGTCATATTAAATATAAGAATTAAAAAATAAAAAATGAGTAAAGCTACAAATTAAAAAAAAAAAAAAACAATATGCCCTATCTTGTATTGTTTCACCTCAATTATTTTATCATTTGTTTAATTCAACTGATGCTCACAAATTTGTACGAAGCCATTAAAATTGCAACTTTTGAATCTCAGCTGGTCGATGATGAAGTCCACGCCAATTGAATTGAAGGAGATAAAGACGATGTTGGTGCTATAAACATTCCAGATTGGACATGTGAATATGTGACGTGGAAAATAAGGTTGCCAATTGCCCATGTCAACATGATAGGATGCACCGACATGTGGCCAAATATATAATTTAAGAATTCTTTTAAAAGAAAATTATAAAGCTTCCTGAATTTTGTAAATAATTTTGTGATTTCTGAACTTTACTTTTTAATTTTATGGTCTTTTGAATTTCATTTTTTTACTTATTACCATGATATTAATTTACTTTTCAATCTACAAGTTTAATATTGTTATAAAAAATAAAATTAAAGAAATTATAGGGTAAAAAAAAGTTAAATTTAAAAATTATAAGATAATTTTCAAAATTCTGAACATAACAATATATTTTTTTTTAAATTAAGGATTAACTTATATAACCCGTGATCAATTCATTATCTTTTTAATAATTTTTAAAAATTATTATTCTATTTGTTTCGGTAAAAAAACTTGATGAAAAATAGTTTTTATATGATTTATTTTTCATTATTTAGTTGTGATATTTTTCAAAGTCTTTATCTCATAAGACCATACAAAATATTACAAAAAATAGAAATGGAGCATAATTTAAAAACTTTATTATTAAATATGAGAAGAATGCAAAAAAATATATATATATATAAATTATAAAAGACGCTGATGAAAATAAAGGGATAACTAATACATATTTTCTTCAATGATGTAATTTCTTTATCATTTTCATTTCTTTAAGCGACACATAATACCATAAATATAATACGTTTGTGAATCTCATCTCCTTGGACAATGATTTTTTCTTTCTTTTGATTCCTGTTCTTTTGTTTGTTATTATCCATCAATAATATATAAGTCAAAATTCTTATTATACGTTGCAAAAATTACTAATAAAAAAATAAAACAATAAAAACATAATATCTCAATGACGATTTTTCCTTCTAATTTCAGAATATATAAACAATAAAAACATAATATCTCATATGACGATTTTTTCCTTCTAATTTTCAGAAATATATATATATATAAATATATATATATATAATATATATATTTAAAAGGAACAATCTAGAGTTTTTTATTATTATTTTTTTTGTTCTCTTTTTATGGGACATATTTGATTTGCATAATATGGTGAAACATGGAGGACGCACACGTAAAAAACCAAGAAGTGGATGTAAGCATCAATGCAGGCTCTATTTATTGGACGATGTTGATAGGTGGGTCCCAAACCTGTCAAAAGATTGTCTTGTCTACTTTAATTTGGATAGTGGGACCTGCGAATGCTAGAAAAGGACGTTCGCTTCACGCGTTTTATTCTGCACGTTTCAAAGAGTCTCTCATTTTTAATTTCAAAATACACCGCACACCGGCAGCAATCATGGTCCTAAGCACTACGAGATAGATATTTCCTTTTTTTTTTTTTTTTTTTTTTTTTTTTTAAATTCCTCTTTCCCGATGAAAAATTTTTTTTTTTTTTTTTTTTTTTTAAATTCCTCTTTCCCGATTGAAAAAAGATGGAGGGATATGCTTCTATTTAGAAATTTAACTATCTTAAACGAATAATGTAAGGAATATTGGATATTCCGAAAGAATATGCTTTTACCCATAGTTGGTTAATTATTTCTGTAGCTATTAGCAATTTTAATAACATTTAGCTGATTGATTAATTAGTAATTGGCTAACTATTTGAGTAGTTTTTTTATAAAACATTAACAATTAAACGTTATATAGGGTCTAATATTTTATAAAACGTTATTTTAATCTATAAAAGATATTTCAAACACTAAATTACCAAACATTATAAAAAATAATTTCACTAGTTGCTATGCTCAACTTATTTATAAAAATATTGTCGAACACAGGCTTACAAAGCCCACTTGGGCTGACAATATTTAATTCTAATTCAGTATATTGAAAATACCTATAGTTAATATCAAAAGGAAAAAAAAAAAAAATTAAATCCTTGTTTTCTCTCATTTTTTCTCCCAAATCCATTGTTGACGATAAACTTTTTTTTCCAATTTTTTATCGGTTTCTTTAAAAATTTTTCAAAGAAGAGGTATTTCTTTAGTGAATTTCGTTAATTTTGTGGAAATTTTATATTTTATTGTTTGATGTTATTTTAATTTTTAGTTACTATTTTTATTGTGAGTAAATAAAATTATACTGGGAATTTATATTTAATGGTCACAATCAGTACAATACGACTCTTATGATTATTGTTTAAGGATAAGTAATTATTTAAATAGGCATGTATAACCAATAACGTCTTGGATTGGTGGCTAAGGCTGAGATATCCGGCAGTTAGTCTACGTTTGGATATATTGGCAGAAAATATAGGAGGAATAAAAATCGAAACACTTTGGGAACGAAGAAAATATGAGAGGAAAATAAATATTTTGCCGACATGTCATTTTCTCTCTAATTTAGAAGGAAAGTTGAACGAAAATAATTTAAAAAATTATAATTTCTTTTGCTACTTTCACTTTTTTTATACTTAGCATTTTAAGTCAAGTGTATCATGTATCATAACATGTTTATTATTTTAAACTTTCCAGGTAGGTATACGACATATTAGGCAATTAAAAATTTTCAAACTGATTTTGGTCCATTTAACATGAACTTTTACCGATTTTGTGGATTCCAACTCAAAAATTTGAACCAATAGTTGCAATTCAATTTCAGTTCATCTACAATACATTTTGATTCTGATTCAAACCAAATCAAACTGCATTATTCGCGCCAGAGGAAAATGAAGGATGCTAAATGTAAACTTTTAGTGTTATGCAAACAATTATTTAGGGATTTTTATATGAATTTTGGAAAAAAAAAAAAGGCATGTATGGATGGTGCACCTTCAATGCAACAACAGAAATGCAGGGAAAATAAGTTGGAGAGCAGAGTGGGGAGGTTTTCATACTGAAGATCACGTGTAAATTGGCTTTTGAGTCATCGAAGTTAAACAAAAGTCTTCTTTTTCCAGTAAAATATTTACATAAATAAATGCAGACCACGATTGTCTTCTTCTTTCAAACCACATAATTGAGAAGGATGATGGACTATACTATCAACCATGGGACCTCCATATCTTATAATTATTATAATTAAATTTATTTGTAGGGTTCCACCTCATCATTCATCAATTCAAAACACGTTCTTACGGTTCCTGTTCCTGATAAGTGATAAGGATCGTATATTTGGACCTTTAGCTTTTTTCTATCGATCAAAAATCACGTGTCACCTAAAGCTCGTGACCACTCTATTTCAGGTTGAAAAGTCTAAAAGGATATTTTGGTAATTTACTTTAGTGCATTAATTTACTTGTGGTTAAATTTATTTATGGGCATTTAGTTAACTTTTAAAGTACGACAAAAGATCACGTTCGTTTGTTCACGTTTTAGTGGTGCAGTCGTAATCATTGCCTTTGCTGTACTCTCCTCCTTAAAAAAAAAAAATAAAAATAAAAATAAAAAAATAAATCGGAATTGATTTAAAGAATAATTAACATAAAAATTAAAAGCAGAAAAAATTAAGTTTTATGAAAAATATTAAGGTATAAGCATTAATATTTTGTAGAAAAATCATAATCCATAAATTTTAATAGTTTGTTGAATAAAATTAAATTTTATAATCTCAGTAAACAATCATTATTTTATTTATTAAAATAATAAAAAAATTTAAATTTTAAAATTGAATTTATAAAAATAATTTTTAGTCAATTTATATTAGAAAATGAAATTAAGAAAAAAAACCTAATAATGACTAAATGGCGTCCTCATTACCGCCTAATTTTGTAAATAAAATTTTTATGTCCTAAAAAAATGATAATTAATTATTTTAAAAAAAACATCATTATCTTTATAAAGATAATTAAAGAATATTTTTAAATTGATAAAATATTTAAAAAAATAAATATGATTTTATATGTTGATACTTTTGTTAAAACATATTAATAACATGTCTAGATGCACCCCCCAAATGCCCAAGCCCAACATTATCGTTCGGCCCAACTGGGTTAACCAAATTATTTTATTTATCCTCTAAAATTTTTAGATATTGATTAGGGAAGTAATTAAATCATTTGAATAAAATACTTTTTAAATTAACTAAAATATCTTTTTATTTAATAATTCAAATCTCAATAATTCTCCCTATTAATATATTATTAAATCAAAAAAGAAAAAGAGAAATAATAATATTTGAAAGAATTAAATAATTTTTCAAAAGAACGACTAAATAAAAACTAAAAAACAATAAATAGTGGAGGGAGGGATAACTTATATTCAATAGTAAAATAATTTCTCGTAAATTTTAAAACAAGAGTGAAATGGTTTTAAAACAAGAGGGAGGGATAACTTAATATTTTAAAGGGATGGTCTTGCTTCCATTCGCTATATGCATTTCTTTATGAATTAAATCAATTAAAAATAATTTTTTTTAATTGAAATATATATATATTATATATATTATATACTATATATTCAATTATTTATTGAAGGAAAATGGATTAATTAAAAATAATTTATAAAATGAATTTCGATTTTATAAAATTAATCCTGTTTAAATCTACAGGAAACGTGCACAAATGAGATTTTGACGCGCTTTACGGAGGGAGGGATTGCCAAGGAGGAATTATTTATTGAAGGAAAATGGATTAATTAAAAATAATTTATAAAATATTTCGATTTTATAAAATAATCCTGTTTTTAAATCCTGACAGGAAACGTGGCACAAATGAGATTTTGACGCGCTTTTACGGAGGGAAGGGATTGCAAGAGGCTGATCTCCCTATAAAAAACGCACCAGAGTAACACCTCAAACATCCCATCTAACTCTTCACTCTTAATCTTCTTCTCCTTCTTCTACCAACACTCTCTAATAAGGAAAATATCAAATGGCTATGGCATCGGTGGTGGTATTGCTTGGGCTGTTGGCAATGGCGGTCCAACCGTCCATACAACAGGATATACTAAATCCTGTGGTTGGCTCTTCAAAGAAGATCAATGCAGTCTCTGCTTTTGGGCTTATTGTGACTTCCAGCACTGCTGAGAAAGCACTTAACGACTCTGGGATTTTCACTGTTGACTCTTATGTTGACATGAAAGGTATATTTAATAAGTAATTAACCTTTCTTTTAAATATTTAATAAAACTCTTTAACATAACTAAGCTCTATAATTATTATCATATAGGAAGGAGATATTTGATGGGAACTATCTCTGGAGCTAATGTTGTTTACGTAAACTCTGCCAATCGTCCAATGGTAAGATATTTTTACACATCCATCTCCGTCCATTAATGGCATTCTTAAATTTTCTTTAGTTTCTTAATTGACATTTGTTATACATATACAGGTAAACGTGGGGTTAACACTGCAACAAATGGTTGAACTATTTAATATTCGAGGAATAATTCACTTCGGCAGTGCTGGAGGAATCAGGAATTCCTTGACTGTTGGAACTGTGGTTGCTCCTGCTCTTATTGGCCACACTGGAGTTTGGACTTGGAACAAACATGGAGAATCAAATGGGCAACTCGTGTTTGGAAAATTCAATAGTCCTGAAAATGGTGATAATTTGTTGGGAAGTGTTGAGTTTGGAGGTTCTGAGGTTTACAGACAAGGAAGCTTGGAGAAGAACCAATTCTGGCTTGCCCCTAATGCAAGATGGTTATGGCTTGCCTCTAAAATTGAGGTATATATGTAATTACTAATTAGTATTCTAAATTTCCCCTTTAATGCTTAACCTTTGTGTTAAAAATTACTTGCAATTTGATAATTTGTCATTGCAGGGTGTTGTGACTGGACTGAAGGCTGCAAGTTCTGATATCTACGTTAAGAACTATGCATACAGAGAGTTCTTATGGTATACATTTAAGGCCTCAACTGTCGATACGACTAGCTCTGCTGTCGCTTTGGTAATAATTAGAGCCAAGTAATTGTAATAATCTATGTTTTCTATGTATATTTGATGTTAATTAATTGAATGGGCCGGGGTGCATCTCGTTACAGGGTGCTATCTCAAACGACCTGCCGTTCATTGTATTCCGGGGAGTCGCGAACACTGCTGGCGCTTCTGACCAGAGCAACGGCACTTTGGCAAACGAAAATGCTGTGAAAGCCGTCAACCGCTTCATTTTTCTGGCTACTGTTCCCCGAGAAGTTTATGAGGACTAGTACTCTGAGACATGCGTCAAGTCGTTTGAGTACTAAATAACTGACCATTTGTACTCGAATGGATTTTGTAATGGTCACTTTTCTTTAAATGAAAGTAAATTATGCTAATCTTATGCGTCTCTTTTAGCTGCTAATTTCTTTCTCTTAGGGTTTTTCCCTTTCTTTCTATCAAAAACCAAGAAGAAAAACACAACTTTAATGGTCAATTGGTTAATTAATATAATCTCTAATTGATAAATTCAACTTAATTGTAGAAAAACTACTTATATTAAATGTATATAATCAATAAATCTAATAATTGACGAGTATGATATGTTTATTAATATTTTTTTTTATAGGCAATAAAATTATTTTATTAATTTTTATAAATCCATGAAAAATATAATATTTTTAAGCGTTTAACTCCAAATCATCACCCTAAACAATCTAATTTAATCCAAAAAATGTTAGGTAAAAAAACATAGAATCAATACAATACAAAGTTTATGAGACAACTAATGCTTCTTATGAGATAAGAGAATAAAAAGTTTAAATAAAATCAAACACAAACTCTTCATAACCAAACCAAAAAATCACTCTGCTTAGCCAACACATATGCATGATAATTCTTGCTTCTTTTAACGTGTATTAGAAATGAGATCAAGTAATTCAACCTGGAAAAGTTCAAATGTGAGGAAGTGAAGATTTTGATTGTATATAGGATTGTTGAGAATTCTGCTTTATTTGAGTTTGCAACATTAGTAGAAAATACATAGCATTTGACCATGGGAGTTTCTAAGAACACGACTAGCTCCTACATGACTCGACTTTCCAATAGATGAGCCATCAACGTTGAACTTTAAAAATCCATGTACAAACTAAAATTGGAAAGAAACTCCAATCTGACAGGCTATAAGACGAGGAATGAAATTTAACTCTCAACTGTTCAAAACTTTTTCCTTTTATGGTTTCTAAAATCTGAGATGAACCCATATTTTATTACAAAAAAATAAAAGCTTATTTCTTCTCATCTATATAATCCATATCATTCACAAAAAATAGCGAATTCCAAATCAATTTTTATTTTGTCCATAAAAAAAAGCTTTCCCAATGCCAACCAAGATCAAGTAAATTTCAAGGAAGAACCACCTCGCTAGCAAAGAAACACGTTAGTAAACAATGATTGGTGGTCTCTACTTCATTATTACACGAAAGACAAATGCAGTCCCTAATATCTTAATATCATTTCGAATGAGTAAGTTTAGTTTATCTCATGAAAAATATGGATGGACAACTTATATTTCGTAAATTACAGCGTATTATAACTTTCTTTTTTAAAAAATATTTTCAAACAAAAATAGAAATTTTTACTGGGATGAATAAAAACCAAATAAATTTTTGATTATAATTGACTTCTGCCTTACTAACGTCTTTTTCTTCCAAAACAACTAATTGATGAGAAATTAATATATATATTATATATTCCATAATTGGTCTCTACTTTATAAATTAATTCTCATTGGAATTTGGATGAAGGTATGATTATACATTAGTACTAAGGTTAAGACATAAGGATCTATATCTAGATAGTTTGAGCTTATGTTCTTTTCCATGATTTTATAATATTGGATTCAAATTCAAATTTATTCGTGGTTTCTTTCGCTAGGACTATGTTTAGGGACAGGGTGAAAAAAATGAAGATGATAAGAAACTAAAACAAGAAAACTAAAAGTAAAGTAAATTTATTTTATATGGGAAAAAAATAAATTAATTTCAATACTTATTGAATATAATATGCCCCAACTAACTTTATTAGAATTAGAACATTTTACTTTAGAATTTCTTCGTCTTATAATATATACAGGAAACTGCTCCCAAAAAAAGTACACGAAATTTATTTTAATTAATAATAAAATCTAATTATAAGTAGGGGTCACGGTTTTACTCTTTTTGGAATTGGAACCGTGAAAAACTTGAATCGGTTCGAATTGGAACCGGAATCGAAGGTCTGCAGTTTGGTTCCAGTTTAACTTTTGAGGAACTATGAACCGATGGTTCCACTTGGTTCTAATAATTTTTATTTTTTCAAATATTTTTGTGAAATCTCCAAATTAACTTTCCTAACAAATATATAACAACTAGTTTTAAGGGTATTTGTGAAAAATTAATTTTTTGGATTTACTATAAATACTCCTTTCCATTTAAAAAAGTAAATTAAGTTCAAGTCATTTTTCTATAAAAAAAAAGTTGAAGCTCTTTTTTAAACAAATAAATTAAGGTAAGCCGTCTTTAATTTTTTTCTTTTAAGTTTTTTCTAAAAATTATTTCATAAACTTTTAAATTTTTAAATGTTCAATAAAAAAATGTTCGTTAATTTTTTATTTTTAATTATGCGATTCGCCGAAAAATTAATCGAAGAACCAGCTGAAACTGTCGATTTTGGAACCGTCAAGGAACTGAAACCGGAACTGTCAGTTTCCAGTTCCAGATTTTTTAAAACCGAAACTGTTGGTTCCGAAACCATGGCCACTCTTAATTATAAGTATATTTTTTAGTGTAAACCATCAATGTCCAGACACTATTATTAGGGACCGCCTGACCTAGCTCAATACTTAGTCACAGTTAAAACTTTTCGCCCCTCGCTATATATATTTAGTAGAGATCTTTCGAAAATTTTTTTCACATGCTCGCTCTGTGTTATTATCTTACCCATAACTTGTCGTAATATAAATATATATTTTAAACACGAGACGAGATAGCTTTTATCCATTGGATTGGAGCTTTGTCACTTTCCTGAAGAGGATTAACTGTTCCATATCTGACATTCAGAGAGGTTTTGCAGGCTGAACCACATATAATAATTATCCACTGCCCAATTTCCATTCTGAAAGTTTGTAGTTTTCTTCTTTCATTTTCTTGTTACCTCGTACGGGAAGATTTCTAAAGATTTCATAGTTGGCCTTTTGCCAGAGATTTACTGTATCAACTATGTATACAGTAAATATTTTTGAACATTAACTAGAAGGAAAAAAAAAAAAAAACAATACTAATAATTTAATAGTTAAAAAATTTTTTTAATTGATTTGATATATGATTAATGTCATGCACTTAGATAATATTAATTTCGCGGTGTATGCACTATAGACCACTAATAAGGAAGCAGTTATAACAAATGCATTCCTAAGAGGTGATCCAACTTCTTCTCCCTTGATCAAATGACTTTTGTATGATTCTATTTCTCATCGCTGCTATAAAAAAATATAAAGTCTTGGTTAATTTCTTTCTATTTCTCAGCAAATCAATGGATCTATGCTTCGTAAACTAGTAATTAATTAAAATTGTATTAATGATCTACTAATTATATTTGTTTCTGTATATTAATTAATTGTCTTTCAAAAAAGAAAAACATTGACTGGTTTTAGAAGCAACTTATTGTATCTTTTACAATATGCATTAATGGTTGGGTTTCAGCGAACACTGTTGGGCTAAAGCCTGTTTAGCCCAATATAAACTCAGTGCAAAAGCTTTAAATCCAAGACCATCTATAATATTTGAAAGACATTAATTTGTAAAATACAACTACTGAAAGCCCCATTTGCCAGAATGATATTTACTCTCAAAAACAAATTTAGAATAATATTGATAAAAAGTATAAAATTTTCAATTTTTAATATTTGAATAAAATTTTAAAAAATAAGATATAGTTTAAACTATAATTTATAATTATTATTTTCTATAATTATTTGAAAATTAAATATAGAATATGGTTTATCATATTTATTCGTGAAATTGAACTAGTGCAAATGGGATATACGAATCAATTGTCTCTGATGGTAATGTTTGGGAGAGTGAAAAATAGGAGAAGAAAAAAAAAAAAGGTGGAGATTGTATTATGTTTGTAACATAGACTAGAAATATGGTTTATCATATATTATTCGTGAAATTGAACTAGTGCAATGGATATACGAAAATGGGATATACGAATCAATTGTCTCTGATGGTAATGTTTGGGAGAGTGAAAAATAGGAGAAGAAAAAAAAAAAAGGTGGAGATTGTATTATGTTTGTAACATAGACTAGATACATTAAAAATATTTTCTTGACTATAGTGTTGGTTAGGTAAATTTCTCACCCACTTTCCTTCCTTACATTTTCCATCCTCCCAAACATACCCTTAAAACACGTGCAATAGGCACATGATCACTACGCGTTCTTAACAGTAAAATGCTGAAACAGTGCACTGTCTCCCACCTCCTTTAACGAGTGACTGTAATAATTTATTATATATATTATGAAAAAGAAAATTATGGAGGTACCAATCATGGTTAATCGTTTTAATTAATTATTTAAACTATATATGATTTGCGTGAGAGGAGTCATATATAATAATCTGACAATTTAACTTTTTTTCCACTTTATTTATATATTCACTATATAACCATAAATTATTTTGAGAATTGATAATAAGGTATTTAGTTAATTACAATTTTTTTTTGAGAATTGATAATAAGGTATTTAGTTAATTACAATTTTTTTTATATAGATTTCAAGTTGTTTAATCACCACAAAATTTTCGGCAAATAACGAAAAAAAATTTACTAATAAAGAACTTTTTTGTCGTTAATTATCAATCATTTAGCGACATTTAACATAAAAAAAATGAAGTTAATATTAAAAGAGTTCATTTAATTAGTGACAGGATAACGATGATTGACAATAAAATGTATTTTATTGCTATTTGGTCACTATTTAATAACAAACTTTGAAAAAAATTTTAAAATTTTGCATATGGCATAAACAGACCGTAAATAGCTAAATTTATTAACAATTTTTCAATAGCAAAATTGTCACTATTTCTGAAGAGTGAAGACTACATACCATCAAAAGCCAATTGTTTTTACTTTTTTTTTACTTTATTTATTCTTCTTTTCATTTTTCCTTGATCTTTTATTTTCTTCATGCATGTTCTTCATCTTTTTCCTTATTCTATTATTTATACTTTTTTTAATTAGTTCCTTATTCTATTATTTATATCCTTTTTTAATTAGTTGTTAATTTGTTAATTGTAAAATGAATTAAATGTAAATTTACTTTTGAAGTTGAAAAATTGTTGAAATAATAGAAATAAAA